CCTTCATAAGTACATAGTATATCACCTCGATGTATATACTGTATACATGTAGACTACAAACCTCAGAAAAGAAACACAAATATCATTGGGGTAGGTATCTAAAATACCTTCAAAACAGACCTACTTTTTCATAAATGGTACATAGATCATAATCAACTTCCAGGGTTAGGAAGAAACCTGTTTTAAGAATATGCTCACCATGATCCCGGTAAAGAAACCTACAAGGATTTTACCCATACATAAACTGTTTAAAAGAATTGCGAGGGATAAATGTAAAGTACCAATACAGAAAGGAGAAATCTGAAAAAATTCTCAGTATAGAGGAACCAAATAAAACTGAAAACCCATAGCGACAAGCAGTCTTCCCAATAAACTCTAGGTAAACTGTAGACTGGGTGTGGGATATACAGTGACCTCAAATATTTGAGCGTCAAAGTCCAAATTTCTCGTGTTGAAGTCCTAATCTCTAGTACATTAGATGTAACTTCATTTGGAGATAGTTTTTTTCAGAGGTAATAAAGTTAAAAATAAGTCATTAGGACAACCAGACTTTATCAAACAATTGATCTCAGCAGTAGTGTTTTCTTCATGTGCAGGGGAGAGAAATTAGGAACGCACCAGCATTATTGAAACACGAAGAATACACCTGGAAGGAAGATGCTGTGCAGAGACATAAGGAGAAGACAGCCATCTGCAAACCAGTGAGAGGGGCCTGAGACAGATCCTTCTCTCACAGCCCTAACAGGAAATGGCCCTACAAACAACTTGATTTTGGATTTCTAGCCTCCACAATTGTGAGACAAAATATCTATTGTTTGAGCTACCTAGTCTTAGTTAATTTGTTATGGAAGCCCTAGAAAACTAATAAGTAATTAACTCAAAATTTAAATGGGCAAAAGACATAGATAATTTATAGAGAAAGAAATACAAGTGGTAATATTATGAAAATATAATCAATCTCTAATAAAGCAAATACAAATTACATCAGAAAGAGAGTACCATTTTTCACTCATGCCATTAGCAAATTTTCTTTTAAGAAAAAGGGAGAGAAGACAATGTCTGGTTTAGGTGAAGGTGTGAAGAACATAATAATATACTAAGAAAATTATAGGCTACAATAGCCGATAGGCAATTTACCAGCACGTATTGAAACTAACACAAAATATCTCATGTACCCCGTAAATATATGTACCTACTAAATACCCACAAAAATTAAAAATTAAAATAAATAAATATAAGATATGGACACTGAAGCCAGACCTCCCACCCGCCTCCCCCCCAAAAAAATTAACATGTTGACTTTTAGTGAAATATTTACACTTTTAGAAACTTGTATCACAGAAGTACTCAGGGAATTCTTTTGTGCCCACAAATATACACTTTATTACTTTTTAAGAGAGAAAGAAAAACATTGGAAACACCATAAAGTCTCAGTGGTAAAAATATATTCAAGTACAACCAAAATGGATAGTAACATATATAGACATGGAAAGTGCTCTAAGACATATGAAGCCAGTTACAGAACATGAGTGTAGGAGGGTCATGTTTACTTTTCATGTATGTAAGAGAAAATTATTAGAAGATGAGCATGCACTCATTTGAAAATGGAAGAAAATCCAGTAAAATGTTAGTCAATACTTTCATTATGGTTACTTCTGCAGTATAATTTGGTTTCCTCTTACATAAGGACCTTAAATGTTTGAATCTAAACTAGTGCTGTTAATTAACAATTCTGCCAATATTTTTCTGATCATTTGTGTCCTCTTCATGGTTCCTAATGTATTTACCAGAAAATAGAGAGATTTAAATTGGTTTTGTTTTCCTCATAACATTATTTGAAAATCAAATAAGAAGATGAAATTAAATGATGTTATATATTATAAAAAAGGAAATGTTATTTATATTTAATTTAATTAAAAATAAATATAGTAAATAAAGTCAACATTTAAAACGTATTTGTGTAATAGAGAAGAAAGAAATAATATATAATAAGTTCTTGAAGGTCGCAGTGAATATTTATCTGATAAACTCATAGCCAAGTCAGTATGTTCTTTCAAAATTGTGGTTAAGATATTAGGCTTTGGAGACTGACCGACGTACCACTTTCTTAATAGCATGTCCTTAGAAGTTATTTACCACTCTTGTGACTCAATTTCCATACCTATATAATAGGGTTAATAATAGTGCTTTTCTTATGAATTTCTTCTGCAGAGTAAATGAAATGGCGTGCATAACACCATCTTGCATATAATATGCTCTCAATACATATAATCTACTATTATGATTTATTATGGTCACTTAAGATGATTTTGGAGATGTCTTTATTGTTCAGGAGAAACAAACGGAGGCATAAAATAAGGTTATAAAATTGGAAGAAATTAAAAATGTGACTTGCTGTTTAGTATTTAACTTTGCCAGTGAGACTGAATGGAAATTTGGGGCATTAATAATTGTCTAATTACTGGCTGATTACTGTTCATCAGTGAAATTCAGAAGGCCAACAAGAAATATTGTAGTTCTTAGCAATGGGCCATTCCAATTTCCTTTTAATGAGAAGAATGTGAAGAGTGCTAGAGACTTACATTTAGCAAATGAGAAAAAGAAAAAAAAATGTAATAGAAGTCTATTCTAGATGAGATGCACTTATTAATCATCACTAAGGCCATTAGGAGACTTAGTTCCTTTGTATTTCTGCAGAATGACTATAAATTCATGATATTTCTTAGTTATAGAATTACATATGTATATATTTTGAATTAATTACCTGTCATGGGTTCAATGCTTTACATAAATTACTCTATTTAACACATGAAAATGTGGGTAAGTTCAATGTAAAATTTTATAGATTCTCAACCAAACTGAGAGAATTTGAGCCATTTTCCTATAATTTTACAATTGAACTTGTCGACCCATCTTTTACTAAAAGCACTGTTCTTCCTGACTTCCCTCTCAGTGAAGGGCTATGTCGAAAAATTTCCTAAGCCAGCAACATGGCATCATTACTAAATAGCTCCCTCCCACCCTTATTCCACAGCATGCAGGCAAAAGAATTAAATGTAAACACACACACACACACACACACACACACACACACACAGATACAGATACAGACACAGTATACTATTAATTTCATTTTGTATGTTTTGCTGAAATCAATCCAAGTTTCCCTACCTCCACTGCTTCTGCTCCAGATAGGCCAGCATAATCTTTTGTCTGGACTATTGCAATGGTAACTTTCTTAACAGGCACCTGTTTTCCTGTTTTTTTCCCTTCTCCAATTCACTCCTGAGTTTTCAGCCAGGAATAATTTTCCAAAACATAAATCTGATCTTCTCATTTACTGCCTAAAACCTCTCATTTACTTTCATTTGTCCTCAAAATAATGCCCAGATTCCTAATCATCACTTAACGGTCTTATGAAATGAGTAGTCATTTCACATTTCAGCAACAAATCTCCTACTCCCCAATTAGAACACCAAGCCTTCTGACATTTATTCACTTTTTGAAAAATTCAACATTTATTTTCATTAGTATTTGTATGAGTCCGTTTCACGCTGCTGATAAAGACATACCCGAGACTGGGTAATTTACAAAGAAAAAGAGGTTTAATGGATTCACAGTTTCACGTGGCTAAGGAGGCCTCCCAATCATGGAAGGAGATGAAAGGCATGTCTTACCTGCAGCAAGGAAGAGAGAATGAGAGCTCAGCCAAACAGAAAGCCCCTTATAAAATCATCAGATCTCATTAGACTTATTCACTACCACAAGAACAGTATGGTGGAACCCGCTCCCAGGATTCAATTATCTCCCATGGGGACGCACCCACAACAGGTGGGAATAATGGGAACTACAATTCAAGATGAGGTTAGGGTGAGACACAGCCAGACCATATCAGTATCTACACGTGTTTTCTCTTTTCATATGACTAATTTCTATTTCTCTTTCAAAGCACTTCTTATACATTTTATATTTATTTTCCTAGAAGTCTTTCCTGGATTAGCAGCTCTGCTATGTGTCCAATTCATCATTTTAATTAACGCTTCCCCATCAGTTACAGTGTTAGGCTGCGCTGGAAATTGTCAATTTCCTCATCCTGCCACCAAACCACCTACCTCCCACTGGCCAAATACACATATACACAAAGGTGCACACACTCACTACTTGCTAATTGTTTCTTTTAATAAGAAGGACTTTAGGGCAGTAACTTAATCTCCCAGATTATTATTTTTTTTACATTTGCACAACACAAATTACAATATCTTTCTCAAATTCCTGGAAAGATGATATGAAAAAAATAGGGGAAAAAAAAGGATGTGCACATGCGTGACACAGATAATGAAGTCTTTCTTTCATGGTGCTTATTAACAAGTTTGTTCAAAATTCACTGAAATTACTGTATTTTTTTCACTGATTGTCATAGAGATTTTGCTCCTCCCAATACCTCTTTAATAGCAATAGGGATAGGGGTTCTTAGCTAAGTTTGGAAAGTGTTGCATTTTCGATGGGCTGCCTTCTCTATAAACCAGAGAAGACGCAAACCTCTGACTTTATGTTCTAGCTCTACCTCAAAGTTTGTTCCCCCAATATCAGAACCTATGTTTTTTAGATGTATTTTTCCAAAATATATCTCTTGCTGTAAAATTGTAAGGACCTGAGGGGAAAAGTGTGGTATCAATAAACATACCTATTTTCAAATATGTACCTGATAAACTATATTATACATACAGAAGAGGTACAATATTGTCCTGGAACCTCTCTCTGGCCTGGAGATCTATGCTGTCTCCAATGAGCCTAGATAGTCCTCATTGGGAAACAAAACTTTTGTTATAAAATGGGGTTTTCAATTTTCCCTTTTTATATGAAATCATGACAACAAAACCATCTTAGTAATTGAGGTTTTAATTTCCCTAGATTTTACTAAAACTGTGAGTGTTACTGATTATGACTGATGCCAAGTGGAACCATTTAGGGGGCTCTCATGCCTGTTCTTTCTGTGTTAGACAGGACTATGAAGAGCTAGAAAAGCAGCTGAAAGAAGTCTTTAAGGAGCGGAGCACCATTCTTCGTCAGCTGACAAAGACATCAAGAGAACTTGATGGAATTAAAGTCAACCTTCAGGTGAGATGAAAACTCATTTTCTGAGCAGTGAAAGATGAGCAGTCGTCTGATTTTCTGAGTGGATTAACATGCATTTTTAAACAGTTTTTAATGTGTTTCTGGGCTGGACCATGGTAGTTATTACTTACTATTATATGCACTTTAAACAGAAATGTCATTTGAAATATTGTCTAGGAATCTGTGTCTAACAAATACAGAAATGAGAAAATTGTGTGCTTGGCAAAGCCATCAATTCCTCAAGCTCCTAAGATCAGTTTGACCCCTGTGTTTTTCATATTATAAAATGACAAAGTAATTATGCTCAAGAGTTAAATGAATATAGGAATGACACCTACAAGAGAATTTTAAATTCACCTCGGGATAATTCTAAAGATTCTTTAATAAATCATATTACCAAAATAGGTAAATACTTTTAAAAGACAACTGTAAAAAAAAAAAAAGTCTTAACATACTGAAATCTTCAAAAAATTCTACACAGGATAAAAATAGTTTCATAAATATTTGGTAATATATTGTAATATTTGACATAAACATTGCATTTATTATCTCCTGTATGCTAGAAGCTTTGTATGTATTATATGGTTTAATTCTTGTAACATATCTATGAGGTAGATCCTATTGTGACATCCCTTGTTACACATGAGAGATAATGTTTAAGAAAGATATGTTATTTTTGAATGTTACAAAAGAAGCCAGAGTTTATATGTAGACAGTCTGGCTCCAGAGACTATTAGTTACTGAACTGAATCATGTTTTTAAACCACATGGAGTTGCTTCTGTCTATACTCTTCTCCTTGGGTTCCTAATCCCATTAAGATGATAATAATGATAATGAAGATGATGATGATGGTGGTAGTGGTGGTGGTATTAGTAACCACTGAGGCTTACTGAACATGGTCAAGGTCCAGTGCTAGATACTCTTTCTCCAATTTGTATTTAATTTTCACATGAAGACTATTTGTCACATTTCATAGTTAAGAAAACAGAGTTAGGTTAAGAAACTAAGAGCATGCAGATAGTCAAGGGACAGAGCTAGTATTTAAAGTCAACATCTAAGCTTTTCTTCCAGAAGATGTGTTACATGTGGAGAAGATGGAAACAAGAGCAAAAACAAACAAACAAACAAAACATAGGCAACCCAGCAGGACACAGAGATGGTAGCAGGATGATAACAGTGCAGGAATCATAGTGTTACGATGGAAGCATGCACAGAGCATCAGGGAAACATTCACAAGGATGAAAAGAAGTGCAGATTGATTTCTGGTGAAGCCAATGCCTGACCTGTGGTTAAGTGGAAATTCACCAAGTGAACAGACTGGGAAGAATATCAAGAAACCTGCACCTTCTTAGAGGCATATAAACACTAAGGACTGAAGTAGTAAACATAACTTATTGTTAATATTCTGTCTGTAGAGACTAGTTACAATTTCACATGGCCCTGGTTTTTTGTATATCTTAATGCATTACTCATAAATAAGAAATCAACAAAACCTAACAGGTGCATGCTCTTTGACTGTTTTAATCTTGAACTGTGTTATTTCCTGGCGTGTGCAGGGAGATTTGCTATGTTCCCTAGTATTTGTAGAAGCTGTACCAGACCTGGTTTAACATGCCTGCAGACAACACAGTAAAACTTCAAAGAATGAATAGAAGATATGTTTTATATTCACTTATAAATAAACCTTTATTTCTTTATATTTTGATATTTGGAGAGTAGTTTCTCCCCCATAAAACCTCTAAAAGCCAAGACTGCTCAATTCCTTTCACCCACTGTGTAGTTGGTGTCATAAATTTCTGTTTACGTCCTTAGAGCCAAGAGGACCAGCATGGACTTATTTTTAATTCTTGTTCCAGGGCATGTGTGCAGTCCTATCTAGTACTCTAAAACCAAAGTTAAAGTGAACCTCAATTTATCATCTGAATAAAACTTCCTTTTTCCACTTTCTTATCAGTCTTTAAAAAACGATGAGCAATCTGCCAAAACTGATGTTAAGAAACTTCTGGAATTAGGACAGCAACAAAGGTAAGAGTTTTCTTTTTTATTTAGTTACTTCTGCCATAGTGTCAAGCAACATTCAGAAACTTCACAAAATTTATTGATTCTAAATGCATGAACCTATTTATCTTTTCACTTATACTTAAATGTGCATGTGATTCACTTGGGAATCTTGTTCAAATGCAGATTCTTATACAACTGGGGTGGGCTTGAGATTCTGCATGTCTAACAAGCTCTTTGGTGATGGTGATGCTTTTACTTTTTGTCTGCAAATCACAATTTGAATGTTAAGGAGCTATAATACTTTCCTCAGTTAGTAAGATGGACCCTAGTAAGTCTGCCCATCAATAGACATATTTGATAATATTGACCTAAGTGGACCGTATTTAATAAAATCAAAACTTGATTACGGTAATGATGAGGTAGTGGTAAGGAATGGAATAATCTTATTAACAATACAAGTAGAATCAGTACAATATTATTAGTATGGGTTTGCTTGTTTTTGAGGGAAGTATTTTATGAAATGTACTTGTGTACATTATAAAAAGTCATGTGATTTTTAAATTGCTTTTCCAAGTCAAAAAAAGAAAAACAAGTATTTTAATATAGAAACAACCTTACATCTGCCACACACTTACTAGCAGCTCTTCTAGTAGATTTGTATATATTTTCTTGTTTCATCTTCACAATTACCTTGTGAAGTGGCTATTAGTCCCATTTTGTAGATGGCAAATTGTTGCTCAGAGTGCTTAGTGGAATTGCCGAGAATCATGTTAATTGAAATGTAGATGTAAAATCTGCTCCGTCTTACCCCGCAGCCCCACCTTTCCAGTTTGGCCCACTGATCACAACGCAAAAAACTGTTTAAAAGTTTACACACAAGATAGCATGTGGAGTAGATTCTAAGTCCCTTCTCATCAGCCTATATGTCCTCCACTGACCTTGGTTCTTAATTCGAAACTCTATTATTGACATGCCTTTGGATTGAGTTCATAATATCTATTAAAAATATAAAATCAATTGTTTTACATTGACTCTTATTATTTATACTGACGTGTTTATTATTTCTTGAATGTGAAATTCTCTTCAAAGTCTAATATTAAGGAAAACTTGAAGAAAGCAAACCGAACATGTTTCCAAAACCATATTATTTTAATGATTGTATTGGTTTGAAATAAATCATGCTCAGTGTTACACAAGTATTTGTGTCTCTGTGAAGTAGTGATAGAGGACATAAGCAACATTTGGAATAGAAATAGTAGAACATTATTGAGTCAGAAAATAGAAAATCTTGTCATTTGTGACAACATGGATGAACCTGGAGGACATTATGTTAAGGAAACTAAGCCAGACACAGAAAAACAAATACCACCTGATCTCACTTTTATTTGGAATCTAAAAAAGTTGATGTAAAAGAAATGGAGATTAGAGTGGTCGTTACCACGGTCAGAGGTAGCTGGAGAGAGTGCTGGTGGTGAAGTATTGGCTAAAGAATACTAAATTTCAGTTGGAGAAGAGAAATAAGTTAGATGAAGTGAGTACATGATTACTATAGTAAATAATATACTATATTCTTTAAAAAATAAAATTAAAAAATAACCCATCAAAAGAGACCAAGAGATGCTGAAAATGATTATTTTTATAGAGTATTTCAAGTTAGGAATGGAGAATGAACAAAAATAGAAAAACAAAAATTGATTTCTACACAATATATGTGCAGCACCCAGTGAGAGACTGAAGACGATATAGTGAGTTTGAGAAGATTAGAAAATAGATCTGTATGTAAAGACAAAAATAAAAATGGCTAAAGGGTGGCACATACTGGGTTTCAGTGATAATAAATAGGGAACCTCTTTTTGGTAGCGCTATAAGAAATAATATAATTAAAGAAATCTTTTAGGGGAAATACTGTTATTTCCTGACTTTTAGAGAAATTGTTCCGTCAAAACCATTTGGAGTAGAAAGAAAACTGTAGACCAGGGCAAGAAAATGCTACTTAGAGACAAGGACAGGGAGATCTCAAGAGTGAGGACCATGGAGTAAAAGAAAATAAAGTCAACCTTTCTTTATCACTGGAGGGACACAGATGAGGAGACAGGCTTGTGCATGATGTGAATGAAAACCTATTCCCTTAGTTTGCTGATATTTTCTTAAAATATCTATGGCTGATTCACATGACACCAAAAACCCCACAAAAATCAGGAAAAAAATGTGAATAGGTGTTTAAGAATTTTAATCATCAAGTATACATGTGGTAAAGTATATAAACTACCAGATGATGGAACAGGCCTTTCAAAGAGAGGATAAAATGGAGAATATTTTGGTCTTACTAATTCATGGTTTTATCTAAAATTAAAAACTTGTTTAATATGCGTAACTTGTATTATATATACAATCAAAGTTAGAATGGAAGACTCAATAAATTATAATAAAAGGTAACTTCTCAAAAGGATATAAGATGTGTTGCATTTGATTTTTGCTGTTTACTTAAAAAGAGAAATATAAACATTGTGTGTATATTATGGTAGAAGAGACTGTGTATCTCATTTAAAAATCTGACTTATTAGTAAACATTAAAAGAGAAAAAGTATCACCTGTGGTTATCAAAAATACTAACTTACTGCAAATTTAAACATCTTCTCTGAGTTTGAAAGAGAGCAGTGTGCTTACAGGTGCCATTTGGTCACATCTCCAGCTCTCAATTATTACCTTGTTTTCTGGATCCTTTGTCCTCAGATCTTTGTCATCTGGCTTCATCTGGACTAGTGATCCCTGGAAGCCATGCCTCTTTTATGTGACTCTGAAACCACTGGTCATAGCTAATGATTCAGAGGTGGCCACCCAAACAAAACGAATCAACTAGTTTCTCCCTCTGGAACTGTAATATAGAGGCAACTAATAAGTCTTTCTGTGTAGCTGGAACTAGGCTGTAAGTAAATTCAGGGGATATGCTGTGGCCACATACAACTATGTGGAGAGGCAGCAGAGTGTCTTTTGAGCAAGACAGGCAGAGAAAGGTGTGTGTGTTTGTGTGCATGCATTTATGTGAGAGAAAGAGTGAGAAAATGAGATTTGTGTTGACTTGAGCATCACGTTTCAGGAATATTTACACAGCTTAGATAATATTCACAAGAGAGTCCCTAGGTGGATGGAGAGATTTTAAACCATACCATGTCAGGACTGAGAATATGTAACCACAACAAGGAGAATAGGGAATAGGACAGGACCCTGAAATGTCTGAAAATTTGAAAATGTCCTTGAGCAAAAGAGAATAAAACATTCTATTCTTTAAGGTGGTGGGTTGGTAGAGATTCCCGGAAGGCAGTTTTGGACTCAGTGTACTAAAGTACTTTACGATAATGTTCTCTGAAAACTCAAAAAAAAAAAAAAAAATTGCTAGAATTGTGGCACGTTCTCCATCTCTAATATAAGCAGATAGTCACTAGAAAGAAATAGCTTTCTGTAGAGTGATTAAGTTGAGAGTGTTTTTATAGCTATAATTTGGGATGAAAGAGGTGTGAAATGATGGCCCTTTGAAATTCTTTGTAACACAAAATGTTATGCTAAAATATTTCAATATTGGAGCTATCTATTACAGGTGTCACTTGAGCCATGAATTTTTTAGAATTAAAGTTTCAGTTTAGTACCAAATAGAGCCCTAGAGTAGCAGATATAGATTGAGTAAATCTCAGTTGGTGTTGAGAAGTGGTGCAGAGGCAAGTCAGGAATCACCTCCCTAGGAGGATAACTTAGTAAGTCTGTGAAGCAGAAATCTATAGCTAGCTAAAGCACTAGAGCAGTGAGCATGTGACGACATAAGCTTAGAAGGAAGGCAGAAGAAATGAGATATAGAAGACAAAAAATCTACTTTACCTTTCTGCCTGATAGTGTTCTTTGGCAGGAAAATATTCAGAATTCTCTACCTTTTCCATATTTTACAATTTGTTTTTTGTTCTGTTCCCTAGATTGCCTCTAGATGTCAGAATCGGGGATTTTTTTTGGAAGAAACATATAGATAGATACCTACTCCCACACATACATTATCTATCTATCTATCTAAATATATATACTCATTGTTTTTAATAAAACATACTTTATTATTTAATTTTTGTTAAGTGTTTTACGACTATCTTTTAAAAATAAAAATAGGAATTTTAAATTAAAATATATTAAAAATTATTACGTTGTCATTTTAATTATAACTTACTTTTCAGTAGGAAATATAATTTTATTGTGCTTCACTCAGTGCTTGTTGAAAATTTGAGTGTTTGGGATAGCATGTAGGTCCTTCCTTCCTTCCTTCCTTCCTTCCTTCCTTCTCAGTAGAGATAGTATAGTAACTCTTTATAGTTTGAGCATATAGACACTAAAACACAATTTCACTACCCCTCTATACATTAGTTATCTATCATAATATGATGTCATAGTTTGGTGTGGGGTTTTTAAAAGTGTCTTGCACATTGTAAGCCTACAATATATGTAGGTTTATATTATATTATATTATATTATATTATATTATATTACAAACACTCTGTGGAAAATATCAGAAATAATAATGGAAGCCCAGATTTTATATGTCCATATATGGAACAAGTCTGATAAATGAAACCAGTTTGAGACAGTGATGGAAGCTGTCACTTAGAATCCACTTCAAGCACATTAAAAGCATCACCCAAGAAGCATAAATCATTTAAAAACCAAAGTGACTGTAATTATTCTATAACTTGTTCTCACTATATTTTGATTTATCAACCAAAGTCCAAAATGATTCCAAAAAACAGACAGACTTTCTTTCTAATTCTTGAAATTGGGACTGGTACATCAGTCTCAAGACTAATTAATCTGGCTGCCCCATTAAGTCCTGCTGGGTGAAAGAGCAGCTTGTGGTTGTACAGAATTTTGTGGTCAGAGAATGAACATAGGAGTGTGGAGTGGTGTCAGTGGTTATTGCCATGACCTAACATTTGTTAAGTAATTATTTTACAGGCATTGTGTTAAGCACTTTGTTTACATTATGTCATCTTAATATGAGCACAAATCTATTAGTTAGTTCTACCATTGTGCCCTTTTTTTGGATGAAGAAATTGAGTATGAGATGGTGTGTCACTTGCCCAAATATCCAGAGCTAGTCTTTTGGCACTAGATTGGAAGTTTTAAATTAGTTTAGGTACTGGTAAGACTCAAACAGGTTTCTATTTTTTTGTACACTAGCCTTTATCTAATATCTGATCTGTTTGAGGTGATAGCTTGAGTTTAAAAAAAAAAAAATCAAGGCACAGAAAGATAATATGATGTGTTATAAATAAATAAATATAAATAATATGATGAGTTATAAATCAATAAATCCTAAATCCTTAAGAGAAATGCAAATTTAGGGAAAGATCACTCCTTTTAAAAAGGGATACAGGATCCTTATGTACCATTGAGCTTGAGACACAATGAGTATATATGCATATGCATGCATTTTTTAATTACCTTCATTAAATGAGAGAGGCCTTAAGTTAGAAAAAGTTTCTTTTCCCTGTTTTTACAAAAGGTCTCAGGCCTTACAAAGGATGTATAAAGCACAATACTTTAGAATTAATTAATTAAGAGCATCAGAAGGGAACAGTAATTTTATCCTATCAGCAAGTCTATGGTGACTTTTTCTAACCAGCATGTTCACATCCCAGTATGCTGTTAGTGGAATTATCTTTTCAACTTGAATTATATATCGCTTTACTTTAACACATCATGTAGCTCACAGATGATTCAAACAGTGGGATATTTATAAAGCATAATAGTAAGGTAATTTTAAAAAATTCCACTTGCTTTTAGTATTTGCATGGAAGAAAAAGACTTTTATTACCAGAATCTTTAGACACATCCTGTATGCTTAACTGTGATTTTATGGAATTCTAGTTGTCTGTGTCCTAAATGTATACAGCAAAGCCTCCTTTTATAATGTACACAGAAAATAATGGAGCTGTATTATTTTCTCTCTTATGCTCTGTTTTCTACTAAACTAGAGAAGAAATGAAATCTCTTCAGGAGGCCCTGCAAAATCAACTTAAAGAGACATCGGAGAAAGCAGAAAAACACCAGGCTACTGTAAGTGTGTTTCTACTTTGTGCCCTTTGCTTTAGGGCTGGGAGATTGTTACTTTCTTTTTCCAAAATCACTATGGAACAAACACACCTATAAAAATAAAAGTGAAAAGACAATAAAAGAAGCATCAGTCAATGTCATCAGAATAGTACTTGGTCAGCATTCATTTCTGGAAAAGGTTAATGTTTTATTTCATTATTAGGGGATCATCTCATTCCTAGCCTACTTTTAAGAATGAGAAACTGAAGGACAGAATGGGGTAAAGGTTCTGGTGTCAGGGCCTCATCAGTGGCTCTCAGATCGTGGGTTGTCACTGACTGGGAAGTAAATTAAGCTAAGTGATGGTTAAGTCGCACCCCACATCCACTGAATAAGGATCTCTCAGGAGCAGGGCCAAGGCGTCTGCCTATTTAATCCATCCCATGGGTTATTCTCATGCACTCCAAAATTGATGAATCAAACTCCTCTCATGACAGCGAGAACTGTGAGAAATAAACTGTGAAACAAACTTTCTCACCCGAAATGATGTTCCCTTGACCCCACCGTTTCAGCTCTTACTATGAGTATTTACTATAGGCAGGAGGGATGGTGTTCCTGAGAGCCGTGTTGAAAACTAGGTTTCTACTGTATTCCCCAAAGCCACTTTATGCATCATGTATAGGGATTGGACCTTATATCTTGTTTTCAGGATCTGAGTCTGTTTTAAAATATAGTGTGTTAATTGAACGTATGAGGTATGGTAAAGTCAACAGATCAGGAAAAGACTACCACTGAAAACATAGCTTCTTTCTCACAGTTCTACCTGTAGACCACAGAGGGGCCACACGAGAAGGTACCCAGGCTGTTCATGAGGCAGAGGGAGAGGAGGAAACTGCGGGTAAGAGGTTTATTGTGGTTTCTGGGGCAATGAACAAGTGAGGCAGGATAAGTGGGGTTGGGATGGATAAGTGGGCTTGAGATTGGCCAGTTTGAGTGATTTTTGGCTGACTCTGGGGCATAGCAGCTGTCCTGACTTATGACCTATCCCTAAGGTGATTAGGGCAAATCCACAGTGGCCTGGGATAATAAAAGGGGGGAAATTACTAGTGTTGTTTTTTGATTGGTTGTTGTATTTGAAAAGTGTGTCTCTGGGAGGAGGACTTCCTTCTGACACGGTGGAGCAGCGATGGGAGACTCCCAGAGCTAAGGCAGGGTGGCTCAAGCATATGATTGGATTGTTCTGAACAAGGCTGATCCAGCACATCCTTGAAGAACAAATGTTAAAGCATCAAGTTTACAGACGCTAAAACCATGGTGAAGCCTGAATCTCCATTTAGGTCAATTACCTGGAATCCTAGGCTCTCTAAACACAGTCAGCCTGCCTTTCTTTTACAAAACTTCCTTTAACAACCTTGATTGAAATGTGGAGTTTTGCTTCTGAAACTCAGGCCAGTCTGTCATCTGCAACATCGGATTTCAGGAACAGCCTTTCTAATAATGATTGCTGACTTTTCAAAGTACAGAACTGTTTCATGTTAAGGATTCACTGTTATCTGTTCTGTTCACCTGTTAGGACGGGCATGTTGGTTCATTGTTATGCCATGGCAACTCTCACTGCTCACCTGAAATGCAGTCTAAAGACTGGCTCACTGGATACCAAATGTTACATAAAAGAATAGACATATTTTTATCATCAGCTTGTTGATTCCTCCCCCCAACACCTGACCTAGCTTACTGAATGGTCCTAATTGCAATCACATATCTGCCGTGACTAATCATATTTAATCTGGGTTTCTTCATAGCCTAATGACAAACAATGGTAGAGAAGAATAGAAGTGCTCACACAGACTATTTTCTCTGGTTCTCATAATAAAACTACATTGTTTTTTTTCTTTACTGAAAAATAGTAGCTCAGATAAGGTGTTTCTAGCTTGCATTTGCATAGCTATAAGGCAGAAGATCTAAGGCATGAACTCATAATTATTTCAGTAGATTATGCAAACTGTCTGAGATCCAAAAAGAAGAGAGTTATAACTTTTGAAAGAGCACAAACCAAAGTTAGAATATCTAAGTATGAAAAATGTCATGGGCAAATAATGTAGACTGAGTCACCTTTGCCTTCATCTCAGCACGCTGGCAGTGCGTTCCTTATGGCTGAACATTGAATCTTGAGGAAAGGTTTCTGTTTTCCCCCAAAAGTCTTCACTAAACCAGAAACTTCCTAAGGAAACTCATAACTTAGTCTGTGCTTCAGAGGAGGAGTGTTTGCGGTTTACATTTCCAGTAGGCCATTTACTAGTTCTGTAAATTTACTAGCTCATTACCAGACTTGATCAAGCTTTTGAACTTGTGCAAGTTTCCTCATTATCACATTTAAGGGGTTATTCACATTAAATTAATGCACATAATCTCTCTAAAATTGTATCTGGCATGTAGTAGATAATAGACATTAAACTAAAGTCATTCCCCTTCCTTCTGCGCTTCCCATTTTAATTTCATCTTCATCGCTTAGCTGAGTGAATATAAGCGAGTCATTTGATTTCTCTGAGGCTTTTTCATTTTAAAAAGTATGCCAGTGGTACTTATATGACAGGTTATTTGGTGATTATATGAGATGATGCATACACTATTGAGCAGAAGACATAATCAATTGTGAGCAGCCTCTAAATTGTATGATATCATCATCATCATTATTAGTATTTCTTCTTTCTAACCATTTAAAATCTTTGTTATATGATAATATCATGGTAAGAATTATCAGAGATTACATAAGAATGCATACCTAGTAAAAGGAATATTAAATAAATCTATTCCATTGTTCATAATTTAAGATGTTCTATTTCCTCAACTCTATTTACATTACTATTCAAAATAGTTTTGTTTTGCAATTTCTGGATACTGCCACATGGATTTTCAATGGCTATTCTTAAAAGCTGGCATTGAAATGTTTGAGAGTGACCTCAGGTTCCCAGAGACTTACAAATGGTGTCTTTATGGGAATCAGACATATTACCTGTGTATCAGTGATCAGGGCAACACAGTGATTTTTTTTATTATTAAAAACTACTAGATGGTGAGGTTTCTCACCAACGGCTTGCATTTTCTTAATTGCAGACTATTTCTTTTTTATTCACTGTTCTTGTTAATTACTTTTTTTTTTTTTCCATAGGTCATTAGGGTACAGATGGTATTTGGTTACATAAACAAATTCTTTAGTGGTGATTTGTGAGATTTTGGTGCACCCATCACCCGAGAAGTATACACTGCACCCTATTTGTAGTCTTTTATCCCTTGCCCCCGACTCACCCTTTCCCCCGAGTCCCCAAAGTCCATTGTATCATTCTTATGCCTTTGCGTCCTCATAGCTTAGCTCCCACATATCAGTGAGAACATACAATGTTTGGTTTTCCATTTCTGAGTTACTTCACTTAGAATAATAGTCTGCAATCTCATCCAGGTCAATGGAAATGCTGTTAATTCATTCCTTTTTATGGATGAGTAGTATTCCATTATATACATATATATATATATGAATTAACTATATATATCTCTCACCATTTTTTTATCCACTTGTTGATTGATGGGCATTTGGGTTGGTTCCACAATTTTGCGATTGTGAATTATGCACTATAAACATGAGTATTCAAGTATCTTTTTCATATAATGACTTATTTTCCTCTGGGTATATACCCAGTAGGGAGATTGATGGATCAAATGATAGTTCTACTTTTACTTATTTAAGGAATCACCACATTCGTTTCTACAGTGGCTGTACTAGCTTACATTCCCACCAACAGTGTGGAAGTGTTCCCTGATCACTGCATTTATGCCAACATCTACTGTTTATTGATTTTTTTTTATTATGGCCATTCTTGCAGGAGTAAGGTGGTATCACATTTTGATTTTGATTTACATTTCCCTGACTATTAATGCTATTGAGTGTTTTTTCATATGTTTATTTGTAATTTGTATATTTTCTTTTGAGAATTGTCTATTCATGTTCTTAGCCCACTTTTAGATGGGATTTTTTTAAACTGATTTGTTTGAGTTTGTGGTACATTCTGGATATTAGTCCTTTGTCAGATGTATAGATTATGAAGATTTTCTTCCAATCTGTGAGTTGTCTGTTTCCTCTGCCGACTGTTTCTTTTGCTGTGCAAAAGCTCTTTAGTCTAATTAAGTCCCAACTATTTATCTTTGTTTTTATTGCATTTGCTTTTGGGTTCTTTGTCAAGAGAGACTTGCCTAAGCCAATGTCAAGAAGGGTTTTTCCAATGTTATCCACTAGAATTTTTACAGTTTCAGGTCTTAGATTTAAGTCCTAATCTATCTTGAGTAGATTTTTGTATAAGGTGAGAGATGAAGATGGTTTCATTATCCTATATGTGGCTAGCCAATTATTCCAGCACCATTTGTTCAAAAGTGTGTCCTTTCCCCACTTTATATTTTTGTTTGCTTTGCCAAAGATCAGTTGGCTGTAAGTATTTGGGTTTATTTCTGGGTTCACTATTATGTTCCATTGGTCTATATGCCTATTTTTATACCAGTGCTATGCTATTTTGGTGACTATAGCCTTATAGTTTGCAATCAGATAGTGTGATACCTCCAGATTTGTTCTCTTTGCTCAGTCTTGCTTTGGCTATGTAGGCTCTTTTTTGTTTCAATATAAATTTTAGAATTGTTTTTTCTAGTTCTGTGAAGAATGATGATGGTATTTTGATGGGGATTGTGTTGAATTTGTAGGTTGCTTTTGGCAGCATGGTCATTTTCACAATATTGCTTCTACCCATTCATGAACATGAGATGTGTTTCTGTTTGTGTCATCTGTGATTTCTTTCAATAGTGTTTTGTAGTTTTTCTTGTGGGGGTCTTTTGCCTCCTTGGTTAGGTGTATTCCTAAGTATGTTACCTTTTTGCAGCTATTGTAGAAGGGGTTGAATCCTTGATTTGATTCTTCACTTGGTCGCTGTTGGTGTATAGAAGAGCTACTAATTTGTGTACAGTAATCTTCTATCCAGAAACTT